AGAGAAAATGTTTTCCCATTTCGTTCTCTGTCAGAAAATTCCTGTGGCCTTGGTTTCCGAATTGTTTTTAGGGAGAATGATTCTTAGACTTTTTATTGCCGTTTTGTTCTTTGGCAGAAATTTCTGGAAACTTTTGTTCCCTATTTGGTCTCTTAGAAATGTTTCCGAACATTCCAAAGGATTTTGTTCTTATATAATTCCTGTTGAGAACGCTCTCGATAGTTTCGTTCTCACTTTCGTTTTTGTGAAAATACTCCCGAATGTTTTGTTCTCATTTCGGTTTGGGATTTTGAATGTTCTTGGGAAAAAAACTACGAAACGATGTCTACTATACTTTCGATCATACCTGTATTTATCTGGTTACAAAACTAATAATTTTTCCTCTCATTTCAGTGATCGCCTACAATGGCTCCTACTTGACCATATCGAAGGTGAAACGTTTAAATATGGGCGCATACTTGTGCATCGCTTCAAATGGCATTCCACCAACGGTCAGCAAGCGAGTAATGCTAATTGTGCACTGTGAGTATATACACTACATATGTATATGTATTAGGGTAGGAATGTATAAATGTATACGACTCATAAATGTATAAATGTATAAAGCATTTAAAAAATGCATACTAACAAATTGTTATTAACATAGTTGTACGGGCATATGTATAGGGTAAATACATATTTATGCCTGTACATATGTGTGAATGAGTGAAGGCATGCACATTATGGTGGTCCAAAAATGCATGTGAAAAAGTAAAGTCGAAGTTTTTATGCTCTCACCAACTAGGATTATTCTATACCGAAAAAATATACGCCTATTTTATTATATTATAACTTTGTTCACATTACGGTTATTTATAACAGCCAAAACCAATCGAGATAGATATAAACAAATGTATACATACTTGCTCAGAATGAAAAAAGAAATATATTATTCCGTCCGTCCGTCGGTACACACCATAACTCGATTAAAAATGCATATATCTTAACGAAACTTCATACGTGT